AATGTTGACCATGTCCAGGCAGATAGGAAATTTTCATAGCTGTTTTTCCACTCTCTGACTGTGATATCAGGGTATTCACTGATAGATTTCTGGTTTGTCTGACACTTTTTCTGTTGATAAAATCTAGTAGCCAGGGGTAAGCCCTAAAAAATACAGTAAAGGCTATTTATTGACGAGATTGACTAATCACTCACGCGTCCTCATTGTTAATTTGGAGAGAAATCATAAACCTTCGCCGGAAGTATGAATTGCCAATAATTGTGAGCCGACGTAGCGCACCCATAGCAAGACCTATGTCAAGCCAAGATCATTCGACCCATCTAATGCGTTTGAGATGGTTATAAATAAGTATGACCGCTAACGCCTAAATGTGCAGACCATAGAATGTTTGTATTTTGCGGTGTTGTATAGATTTTAGCTTTACTTCTTCACATGCTTTCCATTGAACTATAAGAATGATAAACTATCAGATTTCCACAATTCAGCAAGATAATTTTGTTCCCTTGCGGACAAAGTAGCATCCACGGGTCATCTACAGAGGAGACTGTGTGGGTGCGCGCACGTGAGAGGAGGGAGGGCACGTAGGAAGGCGACAATCCTTGAAATACACCCGCAAATTTTCAGTAAATCCATTTTTCTCTTGCGTTTCTTTTAAATTATAAGCAGAGGGCCCTCTTTTGATCCTACTCAGGCAAAGCAGAGTTGGCAGAACGAGTTTTTCCAGTTTTGTAGCCTTCCGCCCTACACCCAATGTGTGTTTGTTGAACCGAATGATTTGTTTCTGGAGCTGCAACAAGGGTAACACAAACCAGCCTTCCAGAATTATATCTTCTTTCCAACAATTTGTTACGAATTTGATGTATTGAGGCTAGTAAGCACGCTGATTACAAATATGAAAGTCATTTTGAGATTTAATAATTGCTTTTGTCGATTTTTCACTTAGCTCTAGATTGCTGAAAATAGTGGGAGGAGTGAGACATCCTCTACAAATCTTCATCATAATCAAAATGCTCAATATTTCTAAACTGGAAACCTGACTGTAAACTGGTGGAAATCAGCTTCCAGGGTTGAGCTTAATACGAACACGATAATAAAGATTCATTGTTGTCAATCTCCAGCCGCTTTACTGATTTTTTCCTCCTCTGCCAATGAATTACTCAAACTGCTGAACACCAAAATGGCGACAACTTCGTGCTTATGATTTGCTCCTCATTTTTGAATAGGATAACTAAAAGTGAGTTAGAACTCCGCATAAAAACCAATAAAATTAGCAAAAACAATTTTGGCCTCAAATTTCCAAACTTCGCGTAGCTGGCATGCAATCAACTATGAAAGATTTCAACTTTGAATAAATCATAATTTTAGTGATAAATAATAAAATTAAATAAACCATGTGTTTATTGATCTTACCTATTCCCGCTAGTCCCGCTCCAGCATTAAAATATGGGTTTGTTTTTAGTGTGTCCTTCAACCTTTGGAACAATGTTGGGTTAGTCTCCAAGGCTTGTGTAGATACAGTTATCTCGCCAGTGTCAAAAGAAGCCATTTCTAAAACGAAAGATGTAAAATCAGAGCAATCAATCAATCAGAAGCTATAAGAACGTTTAAGTAGAGGAACTCGTACCACTTTTTCAAATTGTTAAAAAAATTTGGATTTGATTAGCGGAAAGTAACAAACTTGAGAGATTGCTTTCTTACAAAAATATTTCTTAGAGAGAGTTGTTCAAGATAAGACTGATTACCATTAAAGATCCGCTTTCTACAGCCTTTTTAATAAAAATTTTTCAAATCTAATCTTAGTCGTCCTAGAAAAAGGTGCAACTACGGACGTCCAATTCTGAACTACGGTATTTGTGGAATGCCATTCAAACTGAGCGGTTTCAAGCTCATGATTTCTTATGTTTGGTTAGCTTTTTCATCTTAAAGTTGTTATTTTAATAGCATTAAAGGTGGTCGGATGACCGCGCCTATTGCAAAGAGTGTCTGGGTGAATCTATACAAAAATCTTGAGAGGGAAGCAGCCAAGGTGAGTCTTCTCATATTTTTTGCCTTTTTACACTCGAAATGAGGACTTATTGCTTGAATGCTTAAGAATAACTAGAACTTCAAATAAAAGAAGCCGCTGGGACATTTCAAAAACCGCAATGTGTTTTGAGAAAATTTTATTCGCTCAAAACTTCCTCAAAGATTATTTGAAATTATTCTTAAAGAACTTTAAATAAAAGAAGCCGCTGGGAACTTTTAAAAATTGCAATGGATTTTGAGAAAGTTTTATTCGCTCTAACTCCTAAAATTAATTATTTTTGAGATTTTTGTTAGCCAGTTGTTTGGTTTGACAGATAGAATAGGAATTATAGTACAAGTTTGAGAATTTGTTGTACTTGTACCCTTCATCTATTTAGTTTCCCCAGTACAATTATCGAGTTTTCTTCCAACGTCGTATTCGTGAGCATTTTGAGAAAAATCGAGGCGTAACTGATCCCGTAGCTCAGAGGAAGCTTCTCGAGGTACGCTTTTTCTACTTTTCCTTTTAGAGTTTAATTATGCCGTAATTTCGTTCAGAAAGGTCAAAAAGAGCTAGAAGTTATACGTCGTCAGGTGGTTATCAGTCAGCTTTACCCTCATAAACACACCGTTGTCGAAGAGAAATTGGATTCTCGAGAGTAAATTTTCTGCTTTACCGAAGTTTTAGAATTATTACTATCTGTTTAATGATTGCGTGCAGTTTCTAGAAATGTCGTGAAGTAAAGCGAGAAAATAAACTTGTAATCATTTCTCTTTTTAATATTTTCGCTTGTTAATCATCTCATGCACTCTATGTATTTCTCATAAATTTGTCTACGTTAAGAATTGTAAACATAGGAGTTGTCACACAAAATAGTTTTAACCTTTTTTTATGGTTACACTTTAATGTTTTTGTTTCATTTATGTATAGTCATTTTAGCATTTTCAGAAAACATCTCCATTAGTTTGTATCCCATTTTCTATAAGCCCTAACCATAATGAGGGAATGTACAAAATGCAAGTCAAACGAATACACCAACAAAAATCTGGTGATGATGGTCAATGAGTGTGGCCATCCGCTTTGCAAGTATGTTGTTCACTTTTTTTAATATCCTTATTTTTTTCTGTTTCTTAGGAACTGTGTAGAAAATCTGTTTGTTCGAAATGCTGGTCCATGTCATGTTTGCGGCAAAACACTGCGGAAGAATAACTTCTGGGAGCAGGTCTTCGATGATCCACTTATAGAAAAAGAAACCCATATACGGCGACGTTTGCGAAAGGTTAGTTTTTCTTCGTTTCTGTATCGTCAGTTTCTTGTCCCGTCTGTGCAATGTCAAGCCTTCTAAGAGATTGACTGTGGTGTTGGAAACGGTTGGCCTTTCAGATTTACAATCTTAAGAAGGATGACTTCCCCTCTTTGCGGGAGTTCAACGACTATTTGGAGAGGTAAGCTTTGCGACCAATATTTTCCCTTTTTTCCACTTTATCGGTTTAATCCTTTGATATTTCAGGTTTGAAACCATAGTCTGTAACCTTGCTTTTGGCATCGATGTAGAGGATACTGAAGCCGAGGTTGCTGCATTTAAAGAAGCAAATGCTGAGTTGATAGAAAAGAACAAGAAAAAGTACGTATCCTCGTCTTAATTTCAGTGGTCGCTATAAACATTCGAGATTTGCAGGTTAGACGAAGACCAGATATGGATTATGCAAAACTTGAAGGAAGATCGTGATATGAAGAATCGTGTCGACCAAGCACATAATCAGGAAAACGTGAGTTTCGATTTTTGAACTCTCCTCTCCCTGCAAAAACTCTTCTTTCTTGATATTCAATAATTCTCATACCCGTTTACTTATGTTTATGCTCCATTATGCAGTGTTATACACTCTTTTCGTCTTAATTTTAGTTAACTTCATTTCTTATAGCAGCTGATGTAATAGCTAGCAGTTTAGATTTCTTTATGCTAAAGTATGTTCTGCACCTATGAATATATTCCTTGATCCTTTTTGGCATCGCTAGGAAATCATAATATATTGTCTTACAGAAAGAAGTGGAGAAGTCTGCAGTGAAGGACACGAAAGCAATCATGGATGAACTGCGTGAGTCTAATGTACCAGCTGAAGTGATTCTTGATAGGGAACGAAAGCGACAGATCGAGCAAGAACTTGAAGAAAAGGAGGAAGCTGCAAGAAGGAAGAAGCGCAACAAGGGTTAATTTTTAAAGGAGAAAGTAGCTTTTTTGAAAGTTTTAATGGGCGTACGGTTCAGAGATACTGCAAGATCGAAAGAGAATGGCTGAATCGATGTCATTTTCTACCTCTCAACGTGTGTCTGGTCGAGCTTTTGAATACAAACCACCGCGATTGCACATCAATGGTCCAGCGATACCATCTAAAGAGGAATTGGAATCCAAGGGTTATCTTCAGCATATTCGGGCTGCTAGCTTGGTGAGAAAGCCTCTTAATTTACCTTTGACAGTCCTTGTAATAACTCGAGATCAATTACAATGGAGATTAAACCTTTTTCGACTGTGAACAGTTTAGGCTCGTGTTGCTGGTGGATTTACAACTCATACTGGTTGTCTCCGTGCTTTGTTTGATAGCCGCATAGATCTGCTTAGTTTTTGACTTATTTACCTCTTTTATATGATTTGTTAGAATCAATGTACCCTAAACGTTATTTGTATATCACAATTTCTGATTTATATAATTTTACTTATAAATATTGAAGGAATCTGTATCCTGGT